CGGGGGGCGGGGAGGGATCCCGGGGGGCGAGGGGGTGAATCCCCTTCACACCCTGCCTGGCCTCCTGGTCAGCTCAAGGGTTTCTGGAGGAGCTCGAGAGCAGTGGCACTTGTGAACAAGCTCCATCCTTCACTCTCCCCCTCTCCGGTTCCTCCCCTGAGCACCCCACAACCAGCCTCGTGCAAGCCCAAAATACTCCTCCCTGCAGCCCAGAATGAGCTCCCTCCTCAGAAGACACAGCAGGATCAGCCCCACAGCCCCCCAGGACATCCAGGATGGGCCTCATACCCCTGAAGGTGACAGCCCCCCCTCACGGTGATGTGTCACCACCACCCCGGGGCTGGTGGCACTTTCAGGCAGGAGGAGCAAGGGAAGGCAGCAGGTAAATCAGAGCCAGGTGAGACACCCTGGGCTTCCCCCAGCTTGGAATCCCAATGTGGATAAACTAGCTGGGGTCCCTGGCCAGCCAGACACTGAGTCAGTTCTCTGAGTGGTTCTTTTGTCTCAGCAAAGCCCCAGAGACACCCCCAACCTTCTAACCTGGGAGCATCTGGGTTGGTGATTGCAACCTCCCCTCCTCCAGCCCCGCTCTGGCTGGGGAGCACTCACCCTCCATGGCACACTGAAAACATAACGTGGCTTATCCTTATCTTGAAGGACACACTGGTGTCCTCCTCTGTTCCCACAGCTCCGTGAGCAGCTGCTGGTTCCCCTCTGCCTGAAGTTGTCCCTTGGAGCTGTAGCAGCAAGGTCCATCCTTGTGCTGGCTGCTGGGCCACCTCCCAGACTGCCTTGGTGTGTGTGAAACGATGGGTTTCACCCCAAGGACGAGGTGCCAGAGTCACTCTTTGGAAGTGACAGAGCAGGGGAGGGCTAGGGATGGGCACAGCTGTCCCAGGAAATAACTTCCTAACCATAAAGCAAGAGGGGCAAGTGGAGAAGGCTTTGAAACTTCATTTGCAAACCTGATTTTGAGGGTGAAGGAAAAGCTGAGGCTGCAGGACACCAAGAGGAGCAGGGCAGGCACCCAGGTGACAAAGGCAGCTGCCAGAATGACCTGCAGCTCCATCTATCTGGACCTCACAGCCCACACCCACCCCTAGCATGGGGGGCAGGAGCCTCCCCTGGGTCCTGAGTCAGGTCTGAAGCATCTCCTGTGTCTGTGCTGCTGCCTTCAGGCATCTCAGTCGTTCCTCTGAAGTGAGTTTCGGGTGTTGAGCTCTGAGCTGCCTGGAGAAGCTGTGGAGATAAATCCCACCCAGACACTGCACCCAGGCACCCCCTCAGCCCTAGATGTGAACCTGGGGTGGGCACAGGCAGGGAAAGCAGCTCAAGGAAGATCCTCCAAGGCACATCATCATGACTGCAAGAGTAACTGGGCCTGGGGAGCTGCTTGATACCCACCCATCTGTGTCCAGATCTCCCCAATACCCTCCCATGGGCACTCAGACGTGTCCTGATCTTCCCATTCTCTCTGATCCCATCTTCTCCCCCCTGCTGGGCCCTTTTCCCCTCCATTCCCACCCCACCCCTTTTCATCCAGCCCGTTCCTCACTCCAGGGGCTCAATTCCCCCCTGTCCCCAGCCCCATGGCTCCTCTCCACAATGTTGCCTCCTCCTCCTTCCAAGGTCCCCCCCACACCCCCCTCCTTGCTTCTTCTCCTTCCCCCTGCCCCCAGACCCCCACCCTCCCCAGCCAGGTGTCTCTGTGCCCAGGTGACACCTCCAGCAGCCCTGG